ACAAAACCTCACCAGTAGGGTGCTTCCCCTGTCTCCCTTGCTGACTCCTCCCAGTCCTTATTTAATTAGCTGCAGTGAGTTGTAACAGAATGGCATAACCAGCCCATTGTTTCCAATGGTGAGACTACGTTTTCTCAGCCTACAATTTTCTGAGTTTTCTGATGGCCAGTTTCTTTTTGTTTCCTCAACTGCTATGCCGAGTTTGCAGATTATAATTTTACCTTTTCCCCCCAAGTTTATACAATGAAGTAAAATGGCATTTTGCATGATGCATGTGCCAAAACATTGAAACGTGGACAAGAGATGCACTAAGAGTTCTGGTGATAAAACATCCTGGTTTATGCCAGTTGCAATAATCACTCAAGTGTAACTATTCTGAAACAAATGCACAGACAAAATCCAGAAAAAAAGTTTAACTTGATTTCCATCCCTGATATTCCATCCTTGAGAATGAGAACTGACTTTCAGTTCCTTCAGAGCCAATAAATTTAGGTTCTTAAATGAAGATTAGAATCATAACAAAATCAACTTTGTCCTATTATTTTTTCTCTGTTATATTTTCAAGAGTTTGATCCCTCCAAAACTCTTCAGCAGTATACTGGCTATGACACACAGGTTAAAAAGAAGTTGTGTTATCACTAATGCATGAAGTGTCATAATTGTCCCTAAGTATCATTCCACGTCTTGTCCAATGTTGTTGTTTCTGCAGCGATGACAAAAGTTTTTCCAAAGTTTCCCACAACCGCGTAGCCTTAATTGCACTTCTTCAAATGCTTGTGGCTTTGTTTTTTACTTCCGAAATCTGCATTTATACCCCAAAGGTGTGTACTGTGGAGGTTCTAACTAAATTCATATACAATTGTTATGCAAGATTAACAGCACCTTGTTCTACATAAATAATGACTCTTTGTATATAAAATACCTTTTTGTCACTTCAAAACCTGTTGCTTATCAGCTAAAACCCACAGTATTTCTGGAGAAGTAGCCCATATTCAAAAAAAGAAGGAAGAAACAGTTTCTTAAGTATTGATTTAAATGAAAAGACAGTTGTCTGGCATTGCTTGTTAACAACTGAAATCACAGGAAACTGGAATTTTGAACAGAACAGCCCACAGTAAGTAACATTTTCTGAGTGAAGATTTATGCCAAGTAGCACTTAAAGCCCACATCAACCTACTAGGAACCAGATTTGAAGACCAATCAAAGACAGAACTTGGATTTATTACTGCTAAAAACACAGACAGTAAACGTAGGATTTGAGATCTCACTAGTGATACGCTGCATACTGGATCATGGAATCACTATCTTACAGCAGACTGGGAATGGAAACTGGGAGGTATGCAGCATAAAATTTCAGATGCTTTACTTATTTATTAATACAGGAAATATCCCAACTACAAGGCCATGGCTATACTGATCACCTGAAGTCTACTGCAGTTTTTTTAAGTGTTCAAGAAGTGTAGGAAATGGAGCAGATTATATATCATGACCCAAACTGCTAAACTTTTAAAGTGCCACTGCACTAAATACACTGGCTGGGACTCACTGCACTTAACAAGCATTTAAATGTTATACATTTACTTGAAGTTATATAACTACCATCTTTCTCTAGTCAATGAACAGAGACTATTTTCTAAGTAAGCTGATTCACCCATCTATGTTAGATACCGGTCCACAGACGGATAAGTTGATGACTAACTGCTCTTACTAGTCTGTGTCAAAAACCAGATGTGAAGTACCAGGTTCAAAGCCAAAGACTGGGCTAATACCTCCACTTTCTGACACTGAGTAGCTAAGGTATTACAATAACAGAAATCAATTTCTCTGATAGTGTTCTCAAGCTCAAATCACAGAAATATTGACTGCTGTAGACACACACTTTTCATTATGCTTATAAAGAGATAAATTTATGCTAAAAAATTAATATGAACTTTACAAAATAAGAAAGTTCCTTTATCATATACTTATGTGATAAAACAATACTCGGTACAATTCTAACAGCCAAATGCCTAACTGAGCATTGGTTTTGACACCGTCACTGGGACTCTTTTTGCATCTCCTGCTGATGCTTTAATACCAAACAAATGTCTCTCCCTGGAAGCTTGCCTAGAAACCAAACCCTGCCCTTTCCCAGCTGAATGCTCTGATCTCTAAATTGCACGCAACCTCTCTTCTTGCCCTAACACCCTACTCCATGGCTCCTGGCTGCGTGCCAGCTTCGACATCATAGAATGGTTTGGGTTGGAAGGGACCTTAAAGATCATCTAGTTCCAACCCCCTGCCATGAACAGGAACGTCTTCCACTAGACCAGGTTGCTCAGAGCTTCATCCAACCTGGCCTAGTGGCCTAGATGGCAGACAACATAATTGCTCAGCATATTCCTGGCCTCGTGGCTAGCACACTTTCCTGGGAATCAGGAGATGGAGGTTTAACCTACCTGGAGATTAAGAGAGCCACCTACTTTACAGGTGAGTGCAGTAATTATGACCCCCACAAAGAACACTACTCTAGGGGAAAAACACCCAGACTTCCCCAGTGAACCTTCTCAGGAAGCTACAAGTAAGTGGATGTTTGTGTCTGTAAAATATATTTTTTTTTTAGTGTATTATTTTTCACTAACACAACAACACTGCCCCTCCCCCCCCACACTCCCGGGATTATATGTAGGTAAAAATTTAAATTTCTTTTCATTGTTTGCCATATTCCTTACTTATTTCACTTCTGTTTTGCTTTCCCTATGTACTTTTCTCATTTCCTTAAGTAAAGCTCTTTAACAAAATGAGGGGCCCTGGTCAATGTGCTCATGGAGGCAAGGAAGAGGGTCTCTGCTTCCTTGGTCCTCTGCTTCCTGCACAAGCCTCTCCCTTTCTTGACTTTTCCTTGCAGATTGCATTCATTCCTTTTTTCATATTTTTGGCTCCCTCGGCAAGGAAAAGGCAAAAATTTCCCAGCTGAGCAGGTATCTGGTCACAGCCCGTATCTTTTGGTTGACAGTTCCTGGTCTCACAGAAGCCCAGTAATCTTGTACTAACTTCGGTGCAAAGGATGAAGGAGCATAACCTCTTTCTCCAGTGGTAGCTCAGTGCATTTACGTTCTGTTGCACCAATCTATGAAGAACTGAGCACCACGCAGTCCTAAGTTTAAAAAGAGTCACCATGGCAAGTCCCGAAACTGCTGGTTTTGACAAACGACACCTCATAGAAATGAGAGGGGAAGGCTGAATCTTGAGTTAGGGTGTAACTCAAGTTATTTGCCTTTTTTATAGGCAAGAATTGCTACAGTATGCCGTATTTCAGCTACAAACACAGATATAAATGTAGCCATATGTACATAATCATATGCACAGATATCTCAGCTTATCCAGCGGAATGGCAGACAGTACATGGTATATGTAAACAGATCTGCCAAACACTTACAAAACAACTTTAATAGCAAGTGTCATTCTTTTCTGTAGAGTAGCTGTTTTTAACACACATGATCTAACTCTTGTTTGCTCTTTAAAGTTTTATTGTCTTGGCATTTTATACAGGAAGAAAGCATTAGCATACTCAGGAGAACTGCTAAAAGTAAAAGGCCTCAAGCTACCCACTGCATGGTTGATAGCATAAAGCACGGGATATAAAAACTTTTGTCTGATTGCTCACTTTACTTGTTTTAGAGTAGTGTTACTCTCAAGAGCATATATTCATGTTCTTTCTACTTCAAGTTTTATTACTTCTTTTGTATTATTTAATACATCTAAAGACACTTCCAAAAGACAAATTTTTCCATTTTGAAAAAGTAATGGTTCGGAACCTGATAAAATACGTGAATGTTCACAGTGGATTATTTTCAAAGGCAGGTAGAATAAATGTGCAATAAAACAATTAAATGCATGACAATAAACATTTCTGTGTGATTGTAGATATATTAAAATGCCAAAAGAAAAAATCTCTGCAAAATATTTCCCCTAAAAAAGGTCAGATCAAAATGGATTCTCCACATACCAGAGAATAAGTAAAAAGAGAGTTTGGTCTCAATTACTGTTACTGCTAAATTTCCTACTCTAGAAATTAAAATGCTCATTGAAAAAGTGAAAGAGAAAATGGAATAAAAAAACCAAATCAGATCAGCTACTTTCAACATAGGAAAAAAGAGACCATAACTGTACATACACATTAAAAATCATCGTACAGTAAACTTAAATCTAAGTCTACTTAGATGTCACACTGCTAATTATTATATAAATAACCTGGGAAACAATACCTCCAAGACACATGTTTTACTATTTAGTAAACAAGAAACTGCCACATTTGACACCACTGATTAAGGCCAGGCATTTCTAAAGCTTCAGACACATTTCTGAAATCCACAATACATCAATTTTTAATACTTCCACTCTCTCAGCTCCATTAAAAAGATGGTAGGGGAAAGATTTTAGAGTAATTAATGATATAGTTAGCTGCTAAATATTAATAGGAATCGTAGTCTTGCATAAAATATAACATATAAACCTTGCCAATACAGACGCACCAGTAATTAAACTTGAATATGTAATTACACTGATTTATACGACAGGCAAAAAGTTACACTTTACTGGCTTCTATGTAAACTGTGGGCAACAGTTAAACTTTGCATTTTATGGTTTATATAAGTGGGCAATATCTCCACTACAGTTCATAAATGGTTTAGAGACTCATAGCTAAAATTACTACTAATTCCAGCTTGAACATTCTGACTATACCTTACAAACCAGGCTGTGAAAATGACCGCAGAGATCAGCCTCCCATTACATTCAATGCTTGTAAGCAAGTGGAAGCAGTTTAAAAAAAAAAAAAAGCTTACACCAATCTTACTACAAATAAATGAAGACCCATCTATTTAAATGTTTTAATATAAATGTTTAGTTTCAAACATACAGCTCCAGATGTTTCACCTACCATGTTTCAAAGCACTTTTGAGTAATATTGTGTCTTAGACTAAGGCACTTATTCTTGAAAGGTTGCTAACTGCACTTACATGTGAGGCTGAGGAGAGCAGCCAGGACTGCTATTTCCATTACTGTCAATGTGATCCAGCGAACCATTGAGATCTTCATGGACTGCCTGCAGTAAGCCACTGGATGCATTATTTATCAGTCCTGGGTTACTAAGCAATGGTAAACTACTCTCTGCCAGTGCAGCCTAGCAAAATGAAGAGTAAAACCAAAATTATTAGTCCATACATATACAAATCACTTCTAAATATTCATACACATATGAATGTACACACACAAAGCAACTCATTTTGGATAGTTGTAGAGACAGCCAGAAGGACTTTGTGCATTTTCCAATTACTTTCATATTCTGAATATAACAGCATCTCTATTTCTGGTTTACTATTTCTCTTACATAGGTTTCATTATTTTCCATTATTAACTATGTTCCAATATTCATAGCACTTTCTAGCTTTACATCATTTTTTGATTCTGAATTACACTTAACCCCTATGCCCTTCCACAGCAATGTCTGGCTCCTTTATAATACAGGCAGCTGCTATACTTTAAAAAATGACCAGAACTTAACTCAAAATAAAAAAGTCCTGACATTTGCCCCAATATTCATAGCACTTTCTAGCTTTACATCATTTTTTGATTCTGAATTACACTTAACCCCTATGCCCTTCCACAGCAATGTCTGGCTCCTTTATAATACAGGCAGCTGCTATACTTTAAAAAATGACCAGAACTTAACTCAAAATAAAAAAGTCCTGACATTTGCCTTTTATACATAAAAATTATATATTATAATTAAACTTTAAAGTTTTTGCCATGAGCACCATGTTCCCCAACACTATGATGTGAAATCATTTATGACAGCTTGGATAAATATTAATGCATATCCACATGCATTTGCAAAAGCTTCTATCAATCTAACATTTGCAGCAAAACTGAGTGTTCCAGATTTTGCCACAGGGTGTCCTTCTTGCTTCTTCACATCAAAAGTAGCATGAATAAGAACTAATACTTCTTGCAGTGCTAGGTAATACAACTTAGTGGATGACAAACCCAACTATTCAGAATGACCATCAAGTCCACATAAACACAAATATAGGTAACTCTATACCAAAACATAACAGGAAATTAAATACGTCGCACATAAGAACATACTCAGTGTGTGCAAAGAAATAATTATTTAGTTTGTTTTACCTGCAAGCTTGCATTAAGAGCTGCTCCATAGCCTAAGCTGGTGGGTATGTTTTTCACTAACGTTGGGCTTCTGAAAACAAATGATTTTTCAAAGTTTAAAAAACAGGCAGACATCCTAGCTGGCTCATTGGTTTAATGAATTGGTTTTTCATCTTAGAAGACCAGAGTTTTAAAAGGAAAAATAAAATTAAGTTGGGGGTGAAGGGACTCAACCCGTTCGAACACAGCGATTTACCTGCATCAGAAAAGCAAAAGTCTTGTAATTAGGCACACGTGGAAATTTGCTCTGAGAGCAGGGCCATAGTGACTCATAAAGGTCCTGATCTCATTGATAGAACTCGACAGAGACAGCTTTAAACTTGGTACAACACCTGCCTCAGCTACACTTGCTGTGTCATTCGGTTTTGGTTGTCTGAGCTAACACTGGTACACATTTGAATACATTACATACAACTGTGCTAAAGTGCTAACTGAAAATACTGTACTCTTCCCTTCCAAGAAACTATGAGGGT